CGTATATCCAGGCGCTCACGGTCAATGGGTGTCTTTAGTATCGTACAGTCAGCGCCTTCGGGCACTGTGCAGCCTGGTGGAGCCCGCCGAAGAAGGCTTTGATGGCTCTAAGGGAATTTCAGCGACATCATCATGACACGGTAACCAGAATTGCTTGTAGCGAGAGCACGGGCCTATCGGATCTTACAAACCTCTTTGTTTTATTCCATCAATAAATACAATTTCTCTTTCATCTCCGAAACTTATGTACACAAGCAAACATTTCAGGAGACCCCGCGTGACAATAGGTGCGGTGGGCGAGCTCTAGTTGTCTTTCTTGCTACCCCCGAATTTTGAGAACCCCATCATCGCCGCCATGTCAGGGTCCAGGCCCTGGTCCTCTGAGTCAACTTTTCGTCGCTTATCCTTACTTCTTCTCCTTACTGATATTACTTTCATACGTTCAGTCTCCTCTTCGACTTCCCGTATCCTTTCGCTCAGGTTGTACGCCTTCTTCTTCTCCTCAACCTTCCTGCGACACATCTCGAGCCGTTTCTTCACTTGGTCCAGCGTGGATCTCTCCACTTTCATTGACATACCCAGATTCCTCTGATGCTTCTTGCCGTTGATGTGATCGAGGAAATTGATCGAATCCTTGACAACGCAGTCACATACATTGCAGTAATAGCCGCCGGCTTGCGAACGGTCGGCTGTTTCCGATAAGAGTTTCGTCTTATGCAAGCGTGAGTCGAGATCCACTTTATATTGTCGAGGTTTGAGCAATTCGCGCTGCGGCTTCTTCTCGCGCGAGCTCGAAGGTCCGACGCTGGGTCCGCATCCGTCTTCATCGTCGTCTGACAACGATCGTTTCCCGTTGTTTCCTTCGGCGCGTTCCTTCGCCCGCTTTTCGTATTCGTCACGATCCCATTTTCTTCTGTGATCACCGGGATTCGGGAGGCTCATTGCTGACGAGTGGGATTGTCCGTTCACCGGAGAACTTGAGCCAGAAACACCTAGATACGAATGTGCAGCGTCGAATCCAAGTCCACTATCCACCAAGTACCAAGTCTTTCGAGGAGTGTCGAGTGTCGGGCCCGCGCTGCTGCTCTTATGAACACAACAAACAAGCTGACCCTTTCTTCGTCCCTCTCTCCGACTGAATGTTCCGCGCGACAAAGGACAAAGGCGCGAGAAGGTAGGTCTCGACGTACCTTGTTGGGGTTCAAGCAGAACCTTCCATTAGGACTCTCCCGAATAGCTCGAGTCTGGGTCGCGGGAGTCCGAAAGACCTCGCGAGAGGGCGCAGCAATGATATACGGGGCTTTCATGACGAAGCCATCGCCAAAGACTCGTTTCGATCGCTCGAGGCGGACGGGGGGAATGTCCGAAACGCATCTCATCTGGCTTCAGACATCGAAATGTACCTAGCTTTAATTAGTCTCATATGATCGTATGCGAGCTTCTTGGTGAGCGAGTCGTGGAGTCATGAGGGTGCAGCGCGTAGGCGAAAAGTCTGATAATTTTTGGACCGGTTGCGTAAAGGGGTGACTCTGGGGAAGCTTGATGGTCGACAGATGACGATTTGAGCTATGCTTCGGAACGAACCCACAATTCGGAATTTTTGACGGATTGAGAACGCGACCGTGTCGCTTCGTAGCGGTTAAACACTCGACTCATTTTATTGGTACGATTATTCGGAGCGAACCATCTCCGTGTGGTGAAAGAACGTATCACAAATTACTTTGGAACTGCAGGGAGAGAGAGATTCTCCACGGGCGGGAAACACAATTAGCACAATTGGATAATTACGAGTTCACAGATTATTGACACAATTTACAGATTATTTGACACTGCCCCCAGAAAACGGGGCAATCCCGTTTTTTTTTTCTTTACATGAGAATCAGTTGGCCGGCTCTTGTTCGGCGCGTGAATCCCGATTCATCTCGGTGCTCTCGAGACGATAAAGCAGCTGAGCTGCTCGCCGAGTCATCGTCCCGTTCGGAAGGCGGACGGTATAGGTGCGAACTTTCCCGTCTCGTCACATGTGCGTATCTTCGATCCTCACCAGGCTCCACCGTATACGAGGAACATTCTCCTCGCGCAGAAGGCAAACTTCGCCGACTGCGTAGGGTTCCTGTTCCGAACCGCGAGGACAATTCGCTGAACGGAGCTGGAGCAGGTATTCGCGATGCCACCTCGCGGCTAGGCTTTCGAGGTAAGCCGTTCGTTTGACGAGTTGGCGTCGAAGTTCATCTCCCGGGAGTGCTCCGTCTGGCCCAAGTCGGTCGAGTGGCAGGATCTGCGCGAGAGGGGCGCATTGAGGTCCTCCTCTGAGGAACTGGGCTGGTGTCAGCGGCAGGGGCTCATCGACATCTGAAGAGACATGAGAGATCGGCCTTGCGTTGACAATTGCCGTCATCTCCGCAACGATGGTGCGGAATTCTTCGTAACTCACGAAGCTTCGTCCCAATGTCTTGGTCGACGCGACCGTGCCGACAAGTCTCTCATACATACCGCCCTGCCACGGAGCTCTGGGACATATGAATTTCCATTCGATTTTACGACCGGCGAGAAGCTCGCGGACTTCGGGGTTCTTCACGGTATTGAAGACTCGCTTGATGTCTGTTGCCGCCTTCGTAAACGATCGGGCGTTATCACTAACTAGAAGGCGGCAGGACGGGTACGAGGCAAGGAAGCGTCGCAAGGCGAGATGGGTCTGAATGGCGCTCATCGAAGGTACGACTTCCAAATGCACCGCGCGGGTAGCGGAGCAAGTGAAAAGCGCGATATACATCTTTTCGGTTTCCTTTTTGATGCGACCGAAGAGAGGCCCACAGGAATCCAGGCTGCCGGCAGCGAAAGGTGCGACAAACTCCGCTCGCTCATCTGGCGACGGTGCCTCCACCTGCGAGGAAGGACGGCTATGTTTTCGGCGGCAAGTGACGCACTTCGCGAGTAATGCCTTGATGATCTGTCTGCCGCGGACAATCCAAAAGCGGCGACGTAGGAAACTCAGCACCGTGTTGACTCCGAAGTGAGCATTGATGCGATGGGTGTCTAGTATGAGAAGCGTTGCGAATCTTGAACATCCAGGGATAAAGATCGGGTTCTTCTCATCGTATGTGAAAGCCGACCCCCGGTCGAGCCGAGTGCGTGCTCTCAGAACTCCGTGCGTGTCTATGAACAGCCTGAACGCGGCAAGCTTCGACGTGCTTGGCACACGGTCTCCGGATCGCACCGCGCAGAGCTCCTCAAACAAATGTTGTTGCTGTACCGTTCGAATGAGGACAGTCTCTGCTTTGGACGCCAACTCGGCGACGGTGGGAATCTGACGCTTTCGGCTGATATCGATGAATTTCAGGATGTAACTCATGACGCGGATGGCACGAGCGGCAGTGCTGAAGCGCTCGAGGTCGATGAGGGGACGAAACACGTCGTCGAATGCTACGGTGTTGCGGGTCTCCACCTGCACGGCGTCCAGTTTGCTGAGCTTGAGACGAGGCTGCGAGGCGGGCTGACGCTCAGGATTTTCCCTCAACCACGAAGGACCGAACCACCATTCCTCGCTCGCTGTCTGAATCTTGGCCGGGATTCCTCGGGTGGCCAAGTCTGCGATATTCTTGTCACCGGAAATGAAGAACCATTGATCGACGCTCGAGCGACTCTGAATCTCAGCAACGCGGTTAGCTACAAAAACTTTCTACCTTCCGGGCGATCGGGCCAAAGCCCAAAAAGACGCTATCGACGAGTCGGTGTAGAAAGAAATCCTTTCGAAGCCGAGAGCCATGTTTTCCACCAGGAAGGTCTTTAAGCGGGTGCCTATCAAAGCAGCGAGTAGCTCCAGACGCGGCAGAGTTAGGCGTATTTTCGGAGCTAGCCTTGACTTGGACATGATCAGCGAGAAATCCGACGAGCCGTTCTCCAGTAACGTCTGAAGATATGCTGCACAGGCGTAGGATCGGGTTGACGCGTCGCAGAAAATGTGGAGCCGGTGAGCGACTGTCCTTTGATTAGATGGCGCGTACTGTCTCGGGAAACGGAACTCCTGGAACGCCTGGAACTCGGACACCCACTGAGCGAACTCTACCATGAGCTCGCCAGTGATCTCCTCATCCCACTGCATCTCCCAAGTCCACATCTGCTGTACGGTGAGCTTACCCCGAAGGATGAACGGAGCGAGCCATTCCAGCGGGTCGAAAACAGAAGCAACCAAACGAAGAACAAGGCGTTTGGTCAGACTCTTCTGAGATTCGGCCAACTGAGCCAGATCTCGGATGCAGAATTGGAAGCAGTCTTGGCTGGGGTTCCAAGAGACTCCGAGGACCTTCAAGGTCTTTCCCTCGTCCAAGTTGAGTGTTGGCGACTCGATCCCGTGACAAGCCAAATGCTCGGCTACGGATTTCGAGTCTGTTTTCCATTTTCCATGTCAGCTGCTCGGAGGACGGAGCGCAGGCTATCGGTGTACCTAATGGCGTCCGTTTCGGTGTTGAAACTCCGTAGAAAATCATCTGCGTACAAATGGAGTCCCATATCATCACAGCCGTCAGATGCGTGCCTCCTGAATTGTTCGCGGAGCACGGCCGCCAAGAGAAAGCCACTCGAGGATGCACCCCAAGTCACGCGATTCATTTGGAAACACCGCATGGTTGCCTCACCCGGTCGTTTCCAGAGAAAACGAAAGAAGGGGCGATCCGTCTCCGCTACGGCAATTCGCATATATGCCCGAATTATGTCCGCGGAGACAGCGGCTCTTCCGACGCGGAATCCCAGCAGCAGGGTCACCAGATCAGGATTCAAGTTCGGTCCCGTCAGAAGGCAATCGTTGAGCGATTTAGCATTGCGAGCCTTGGCCGAGCAGTCGAAGACAATTCGTCGCCGGTCGAGGTCACTATTTCACGATGAGGTATGAAATAAGAGCCGTCGATTTCGCTCACAACCCCTTCAAGGACACCGGTCACCTCGGAAGCGTAACCGCTGTGAACGAGTTTCATGATCTCGTCATCATAACGCTGGTAGCTTTCCGGACGCTGCTGCAGGAGACCGATCTTCCTCTCCGCTCGTTGAAGCGCGATCGACTTGTTATTCGGGAGTTCGGAAAGGTCAGCGGTTTTCGGGAAAGGCACGGTATATCGGGTTCCGTCGTAGGTGATGCCCTCGGCCAGCTGGTTGAGTGCAGCCTGTTCGCCGGCCGAGAACGTGGTCGAAGCCCCGTCGTCGATCCCGATCGCGTCGATGGTCCATAGTCGCTCGAGATCGCCAGCGGGCTCAGCAAGAGCAGCAGAGCAGCATACATCAGCTATGGCCGCGACACGGGGAGACGCTGCGTCCGGTGTCGGACCCTGGATAGCCCAGCCGGCGTGCGTTCGGAACGCCAAGAGGTCTTGAGTGACACGCCGGGGAGCTTGCAGCTCCAGAAATCTATTGAAGTAATCGGAGCCAATCAGTAGAGCCGACGGCGGTGGCGTCTTCTTCTCCAGGAGCGACGGATCGGCGAGCGGACATTAGCGGTGGAAGTGCGTTAGAGTTTTCACGGTCTCGACCGAGCATCGGTTCGTCAGCTGAGCGCCGAAGTCGAATTCGTAAGCGAGGAGTTCGACAACCGCGTCGCTACCTCAAAACCCGATTCTGATGCTGAAGCGCTGTGCGTCGAAAGTGTGGGGATCCTTGAACGCCTGAATGTTCAGTCTCGCGCGCTGCACGGGAGACTCTCTCAATAGTTGGCGAACGGCCGGTCTGATGAACGTGAGACTGCTGCCGCTGTCGAGGAACAGACGCACGGGTATTCTCGAACCACCGTTGACAATGAAAACCTCAATCGTCATCAGCAATGTGTCGTTGGTGGGACTTGCCCCGGTCGCACACTCGCCTCGTTTGTCGTCGGGTTCGTGCATAGAGCTGTAGTGAAGTTTCGATCCGCAAATGCCGCAAGGGTTGCGATTCCCTTGGCATTCGCTCGCGAGTGCGGGAGCTGCGCGGAAGCATCGCACGCATCGGCCCTTTTGACGGAGTATCTCGCGACGCTGTTCGACAGGGATGTCAGCCTTACGTTTCGAGGAGTTATGGTCAGGCGTCATACAGAACAAACACGGTCGTGGCTGGAATTTCGGCCGACGGTTCTTGACCGCCGCAGCGGCCACCGTTTGTCGCGAATGCTCAGGAGTCCTATTTCGCGTTCGCGCACTGTCTCGGGAACGTTGGTCGGCGCTTGCCTTCGCCGGGCCGAGGGCGCTTTCCAAAGTCCTCGAATCTTCCAAATCAGCCACACGGACCTTGAGAAACTCGATCATCTGTAGGACTTCTTCTGAATAGATGTCCGGTGTTTTTGTTGACAAATTTTCCAGCGGCTGCTCATCGTTGTCTGTGGTTCGATTTGACGCGGGGGAGAGAATTTTCAGTTGTTCTTCCAACTGCCGCTTGGCGCACTGTTTCTCCCTGAATTCTCGTCGAAGCTGAACGGGGAGAGCGGCCTCGAGAGATGACTTGAGCGAGGGCGCGAGAGACATGAGTTGAATGCCCATGGTTGCCAGCACCTTGACATTACGCTGGACTGTGGTCGACAATTTTCGGAGACCACTGACATCGAATGGATCATTCACTCGACTCAGCTTACGAAGCTCCGCGAGCAGACTGTCGCGCTCGGCGTCGAGTCTGGAGAAATTTGATTCCAGTAACTCCCACGCGACAGCGTAGTTCTCGTCATTCAGCGCCAATGGCTCCACTAGGCTTTTTTGGTTGGCCGGTGAGAAACCGTCGGAGAGCCATCAGCTTCTCTCGATCGGACATTGTTTGATGACGATTGACGTAGGCCTCAAACTGAGCTCGGAATTGTCGGAAACGTATTCGCTCTCCGTCGAACTTATCGGGAGCGATGTCGAGCTTTTTGGGGACGAGTCTTACAGGCCGGCAAGTGTGCTCCGAGCTGGAGTCGAGGCCTGCGGGACTGTCGACTCGCGGGCGGATCGGAACATCTCAGACACGGATGTTGAGACGGCGGCCTTGTTTTTCGCGACCGTCAGCCTCGCGACCACTCGAGCCAATTCGTCGTGGAAATTTTCGCTAGATTCCACCTCGGCGTCAATGTCTTCCTCTGAGAGGTCGGGGTGTGTGATGAGCTCGGTGTCGTAGTGGCGGATGATGGCGATCATCGGTCTGATAAGAGCGAGGAGATATTCGGGATCTACTCCTGGCGGCAGCGAGGTCTTTGATTCGCTGATGTTCGCGCTGGCCAGAATTTCCGCGACGCTGTTGCGCTTTTTGGTCCGTAGGCATCGGATAACTCTTCGAGCCATCTGCGTCGTTTCCATTCTGAGGGAGTGATCTTTCGTAGGCTCGGGGGTTCGGATCACTGGCTCGTTGTTGGCTTCGTACACCTTCTTCTTTCATAATCCCGGTCACGGCTCCATGATAATTTTTGGACCGGTTGCGTAAAGGGGTGACTCTGGGGAAGCTTGATGGTCGACAGATGACGATTTGAGCTATGCTTCGGAACGGACCCACAATTCGGAATTTTCGACGGATTGAGAATCTGAGAACGCGACCGTGTCGCTTCGTAGCGGTTAAACTCTGAACTCATTTTATTGGTACGATTATTCGGAGCAAACCGTCTCCGTGTGCTGAAAGAACGTATCACAAATTACTTTGGAACTGCAGGGAGAGAGAGATTCTCCACGGGCGGGAAACACAATTAGCACAATTGGATAATTACGAATTCACAGATTATTGACACAATTTACAGATTATTTTACGAAGTCCTCCGTGCCGCGACTTTCGGGAACCCTTCGACAAACCGTCCGCTCCGCCTCCGATTGTTCTGGACATATCTCCCCCCGAGGTCTCTCCGGAGCGATTTCCCAGACTACCCGACCGGTTTCCGTCGCTCAAACGCAGACTCGAGGAACCATATCGCAGGGTAGCGGGAGGAGGCTTCCCGGATAAGTCCTATACTTCTTCGTCGCGACCCATCTACGAGCTATAATGAAATGGATTGAGACTCTTATTGCATCGAGCATGATTTTTTCCTCCCATGGGGACGCGCCTCAAGGTGTTTCACAAGCGATCTGGATCTAGATATCTATCTGGCTTCTCGCGGAATTCACGAACTATATATGATACATACTTTGCTCTCTCATCGAATATTATAACAAAAGTAAGGGCGGTTCACGCCATTGTTCTCGGGAGAAAAGTTGAGCTTTTTGAACTTTTCAATAGTAGATGAGAGGGAGGGGGTTCTGGGGAGCAATTTCCGGTGCCTTCCATTGGCGACCCGAATGAGTCGTCGACATTGGTTTGGTCCCGATGGCGAAGAGATGAGGCCTTGATCTCGGATAAGGGAAATCTCAAGAGACAGTAATATTATAGAGACAATCAATATTAGGGTAGTACTGGGATATAATTCTCGATTTTGGACCGGTGTCTTTGAGCGACACATTCTGAAATCCACACTATGTTCCTGGCGTCTTGCTCCTTGAGTTTGACACTAGCGTAATAGAGACCAAAGTGAAATTGCTGCATGAATGACTTCACAGTCAGATCCACTTCGTACTCGGATAACTCATCGTCGAAAGTCTTATCGCTTATCGCCACTCCCGTTTTCGAATAGCTCACTATACTCGACGTAGCACTCGGCGATGCTTTTCACTTGGAACAGGTCTTCGGCTCTCGCAAGCGCAGCCAACCCATCGGGATTGAGTTTCCCACATCGAGGCAGCAGAGCCACGCGTTCGTCTCGTTCGAGTTCGGTCCCGAAGGAGTTCAGGAGTTCAGCCAGCGTGAATGAGGATCGAGACCGCAAAGTGCGACAAGTCATGGCTATCTGGATGACGAAGTACATCGAACAGGTCACCCGAGCCTGGGTAAAGACGTTTTCACGTCAAAATGTCCTCTCATGTCGCAACTCAACCTATCAGTCGTGAACGAACGAGGCACAGGCCGCTGGACGCGCATGAGCGATGTGTAACTCCCTCCCACATCAATCGATACCTCACACCCATTAATCGAAGAAACCTCGGACCCATCTCGTATGCAGACCCCAGCTGTGACGGACTCAAGATCTTGACAGTATTGAACACGCGTGTGTTAAGCCTGACAGGCGGTCACAAACTGATAGCGCTTTATTCTGAGGAGCCTGATATTCGACGGAGAGATTCCGTGCGATAAGGAATTGCATGCGCACGGTATTAATTTATGAGAATTACTTTATCACATCAGCTCTCAACCACCCCGTCCACAACTTCCGTCCCGTCACTCACTCTAACCCCAGTACTTTAGAATCACAAGAACCCCTCGGTAGAATCAATGAGATAGAGAGGGATGTTCTAACATGTAGATAATCTCTTAGGTCCCTCACTCAACCGAGAGGTTCATGAGGACCTTCAATCTCAGAATAAAAAGCACTGGCCGTTACATTGCCCTCACTGTTATGTGGACTTGGATTCGACGCTGCACATTCGTATCTAGGTGTTTCTAGCTCAAGTTCTCCGGTAAACTG